GAGGGAGGGAGGCAGGGAGAGAGGGAGGGAGGGAAGGAGGGAGGGAGGGAGGGAAGGAGAGAAGCAAGGAGAGGAGGGAGGGAGGGAAAGAGGGAGGGAGGCAGGGAGAGAGGGAGGATAAAGAAGGAAGAACAAGGGCAGAGGGAAGAAGGAAGAAGAAAGGAAGGAAAGGAGGGAAAGAGTGGGGTGGGACTCTGTCAGGGCCTGTGACCATACTGCAGCCCCGTCTGCCACCTTGGAGCTTACATTGTGCACTCCTGGAACGCAAAGCTGACCATCTCCTAGTCCACCTCAGACATTCCTTACTTCACTTCCCAAGGCCTTCCAAGACATCGGTCCTCCCAGAGCAGTTCAACCCCCAGGAACTGCCCCTGCTGCCGAACCTTAACACCACTAGGTGTTGCTACCCACTTGCGACCTCAGACAAGTCCCAAGTGAGCCCCAAACCATGTCTCGACCCAAGCCATCTGTTGTCCTTTCCTTGATCAGCTCTCAGGTGACCCTGGATGTCTGTCAGCCTCCATGATGGCTCTGAGCTCCACTAACGGTGCTGTGACTCTCTCATCAGTCCCCCTTTCTGACCCAGGAAAAGAATCTGTAGCCACAGCCCCCACTCCAGGCCTTGCCTGTTCCAGGATGACATCTGCATCTGCCCTTTGCCTGCAAAGCTCCCGGGACCTTGACCTTGGCCTGGTCTTGTCCCCAAAACTCAGCAGTCCTTTACTCTCCACCCCTTCTCACCTGCGGTCCCCTGACACCTGTACCACCTCCCATCTGAGATCTAATAATTCTCCACAAAAACATGATCCCGTAAACCAAAAGGCCATCGGAGCGGAAACTCACCGGTAAATGCCCAAGGAGAGGCGTGATACTGTCAGAGACATAGATGATGCTGCCGTCTGTTGTCACTGCGATAATGAAGCCATCTAATGCCTGTGGAAAATGCAACATTTGAAAGCTCCTTAGCGATACTTTTATGGAGGAGCATGTCACTGAAGCAGCGGACACCATTTGATGACACTGGCTTTGTTTTATAATCCTCAGAATATTTCCATGAATAACCTCACGGCACTTCTTGGCCTTCCACGGAGGATAGCTTCTCACAGAGAATGTGTCTGGCCCAGGAAAAGCGTTTGCAAAAGCACTACAGGCTCAGTGAAAAATGTGACCTAGTGGCATGATAAAATAACATTTAGCCATGGAAATTCCCTAAGTAGGTTTAATGATAAGCACATTATTAGCCTGATTCAGAAATACCACCACTGCCGTTAAAAAACATCAGCCATAGTTTATGGTTCCCATCTCCCTACCCCTGCCATCACTTTGAGTTCAATGGTAAACATTTGCCCTGATAAAGATATCAGACCTAATAGATGCATTAAAAACAGAAAGCGTGCCTGCTGACCAAGGTAGGCCTCTGCTCACATTCGCTGCCACAGAGAAAGGCCCACTTTGGGACTGTTTGTAAAGAACATTCACGTTATTCTACAGGGCTGGGTGGTTGTGAGGATTGCGTAACTGAACCGGATCCAGAAGCATTTCAGAATCTCTGAAAAATGCATGCATTTGAAAGTCTCTACTGAGTGCCCACTCTATGCTGGGAACACTGTTCTGGGTGCTTGTGATGTAACAGGTTGAAGGTGGGCAATGCTTTCTCATAAAGCCAACACTGTAGCTATTTCTTTTTTATTTTGAGACGGAGTCTCACTGTTGCCTAGGCTGGAGTGCAGTGGTGTGATCTCAGCTCACTGCAGCCTCCGCCTCCCAGGTTCCAGCAATTCTCCTGCCTCAGCCTCCTGAGTAGTTGAGATTACAGGTGCATGCCACCATGCCTGCTAATTTTTTTATTCTTAGTAGAGACAGGGTTTCACCATGTTGGCCAGTATGGTTTCGAACTTCTGACCTCAAGTGATCCACCTGCTTCACCCTCCCAAAGTGCTGGGACCCAGGATAATGTGCCTAGAATACAGTAGGCACTCAGTAGAGACTTTCAAATGGATTAATTTTTCAGACATTCTGAAATGCTTATGGATCCGGTTGAGTTACGCAACCCCCACACCCACCCAGCCTTGTAGAATAATGTGAATGTTCTTTACAAACAGTCCCAAAGTGGTGCCCAACCACTTTTGGTGGTTTTAGATTATTTATTGAGATTTATTTTTGTGTGGATGCTTGTAATGCTTTCATAAGATGTATCTGAAAGCTGGTTTCTAAAATAAAGACCACATAATTCAGCAGAGAATAGGATCACGGTGGGAACTGGCTGCCTAGGGTGTGCCAGTGATGGGGAGGAGATTAGAAATGAAGCCTACCTCATCAGAAAGCAAGTCTTTAAGGAAACAGTAGCTCAAGTAGACTTTCACTGGAAACCTGTCACTGTCGATTCACTGACTTTTTCTTTGAAAGACTATCTTCCCAAAATCTGGAAATTTTTCTGCTTTGCAAAAAAAGTGAAATATGTGCTTAGAAAGCTCTGGAAACATGTTGCATGCACTCAACTAGATGGTCACATGATGTCTGAGAATCTTCATGGACAAAAGGGTGTTCATTCTTTCACATTAGGAGGGTGTGGCTAAAGTGCTTGGCAGTGGGAACCTGAAAGAGGCCACTGGCGGTGTGTGAAGGGCACCTTTATACCATGCCAAAATGGGAAAGAGTTTTCACTAGGAAAATTAACACTAGACTCATTTATTATTTTACACTGACATCTGGCAGGATTTAACTAAAAAACAGATTCAAGTACATTTCTTAAATGGACCTCATCCTCTTGGATGACATCAATGGTTCTCAGCTGGGGGCAATTTTGGTAACGTCTGGAGGCATTTTTGGTTGTCACCACCGAAGTGGATGGTGCTGGCATCTGGTGCTGCAAAACGTCCTGTAATACACAGGACAGCCCCCACGATGAAGAACTACCAGGTCCAAAATGTCCATGGTGAAAAGCTGAGAAACACTGGGTAAGATTTATGAGTTATGGTGAAAGAAGAACATCCCAGTAATTTTTCTTTTCCAAGTATTTTTCTGAAAAATGTTTAAAGTCATCTTTGCAGCCCTCCAGGAGGTGAATTTTTTTAAGGGGTAAGGGCACTGTTGACGACATCAGCGAGACTTTTCTGGTAAAAAGCAGATTGGAAGGCTGGGAAAAGCAAGAGCAGTACAAATGGTCTTGCGCAGTGGGCCCATGTCCCTTCTGAATATCTAAAGCAAGTGGGTGTTAAAAAGCTGAAGGTATTTATAGACGGAAGATAACTTTCATCAGCTCATTGGCATTTCCATCAACTCTATGAGAACTGCACTGAGTCACTGCTTTAAGAAAGCTTGCTATGGTTTTGGAAGTCCCATCAGTAGCATCTGAAAGTGATTCAACAGAAAGTGACCGCAAAGCGCTGTGACCCTATCCATGAAAGAGTGATTTTGACTGGGGTGTTTCTAAAGTGCCATAATGGCCCAGAATTTTATACCTGCCACACACTAGAGGGAAATGAAACCTCCCCTTTCTACTAATTCCTGAATCTGATGGAACATTTCTTGTGTTCTCTGGGACAACCTCTGGGCTAAGAGATTGCTTTTCTGATTAAAATTCAGAAATTCCACAAGCTCCCTAATCCCTGGTCCACAAGCACTTTGTCTCCTTTTGAGCGCAATTGTTCCAATGCTGGTAGCCACGGTCTTTGCCAGCTGACACTTTACCAGCTTGGCTGGTCTGCAGCCAGGTCAGTTTTGTTTTTTCAAACTTCACAGCTATGTGAGTCCTCCTGGAGTCTGGTTTTGTGCCTTTTTGAGAGAAGAGGGAAGACGGGAGTCATGTCTGGAGGCCATCAGCAGTTCCCTACGGATATGATGGGTTCTCTCCTGGGCTCTGTACTCATTTCAAAAAGAGAACATCCTGGCCACTAAGACACGGCACCTGGATTCTTTATAGTCTCTGAAATGGCTCTGAAAAAAGCAGAGGGATGTGCAGCTGGAGAGGAACCCGTGCTATGGGGAGGTTGCACTGGACAAAGATGACATCACCCCGGGAACTCCCCAATTCCCCCAACCACCGCTGGGGCAAAGGCCATCAGGAAGAGATGCTGGAAGGCTCCAGTCACTCAGCACTAGGTCTGTGTCTATTGAAGAGCAACAGGTTGGAAGAGAAACCTAACACAGTCAGGGTCAAAAGTACTAGTTGGTGGACTTCCCAGACCACTTACAGCTGCCATTCACTCAGAAGGACTGCTGGTTGTGCAGGCTTAATTTCAGATCCAACTCATTCATTTAACGTGATTTCCTTTCCATCAGCTTCTAGGAGTCTATCCCAGGAGCAAGGGAAAGTGCATAAAGACTATACGAATATAAAATCTTCCTTGTCTAGAAATTTCAGTCTCCTGAATCTCAGTCCTGCCTTATAGCCCTGAAATTTATTCATTTTAACTTTACAAAAGCCCTATTTCCTTAAGTACTTTTGGTAGCTTTGAAACTCACTGGGAAAAAGGGCTGTGCTACAGGCTCTTAAAAAAAGGCTGCTGCTATAGGGTTATGTGTTTTAACTACTTTTCCATAAGAATTAAAAGATAAATCAATTTATGTAAATTAGCATAATGATACATTAATTCAACATTTCACAAGCTGCTTTAAATTTAACATACTTAAAAATGCATTGCTTCTGCAGAAAGTTCTGTATTTTCTTTAAATATAGTTCACATGTAGATTTAAGTATCTTTCGTCTTATGCAAATGTTCATTAATGCGTTTACATTTCATAATATTTGGACATCTTCATTCTGGCATTTTCTTACTCCAGTACTTTCTGTTTTCTGCAAGTTAATCTATGTAAATTGAAGTTTACATCAGTCTTATATAGGCACATAAGATATGAGAGAGAAAGATTTAGCCCCAGAAGCCACTCTCCAGACACCCTGCCAGGAACCACTGGTCACTGCCAGCACCTAACTTCCTGTTGCTGAGCTCATCTGTCCCAGTTCGCCTCCTTTTGGTTGAGGACATGAACATGCCATGCCTGGAGCTTTCTCTGCCCCACTGCTGTATCCATATACTCTGAAACTTCTCTCCAGGTAAGAAGTCACAGCACCTTGCCAGTTGTTTCTGTAGAGGCTTATGCTCATCTGTACTGAGGAGTTTCGCTCATATACAAATATATGATGTTGAGGAAGGGCACTTGTTCAGATCAGCCAGGTTTTCACAGATATGGCCCTCTACGTGAGTACGGGCTCCCAAGCCAGAGGGAGGAACATGAGCATCTCACTCAGCACAGAAAGGGCGTGAGCTGGATGGGGAGCCATGGGGTCCCTGTGGCTGATATCCGTAGGCCATGTGGATGTCATATGAGTTCAAGTTCAAAGCATATCTTTAAAAGACAGTTTTAAATTTTAAAACATGTTTCTGCTGAGGGAAAAAACATACAATCATAGCAGTCTAAAGAGGAGACTCTCTGAGCCAAATGACAGTGCAAGCTGTTTCATCTTCCCTCTGTCCTCTCTCTACCTACCTTGAACCCACCCTTCCTGGCTCCCTAGCTAGGTGTCCTCTGGTTGTGGCACCATGAAGGAGCTCGTCCTGTGGTCAGTGCAGTGAAAGCACAGGACCACATTCAATTCTGGGATTCTTGCTGACCTAGCCCATAGGCGATGGCAGGCAGAGAGCCTCAGGGTGGCTATCTGTTTCAAAGCCAAGTCTTCCCAGAATCAAGAACAGTAGTTTCCTATGGGCAAAGGGGCTTATCTGCAACAAGTAGCTACATTTTAATTGGCAACTGTGTAAGCTATTTTGAAAGTGCATTTCACCTCCAACATCAGCTGGGTGAATTCTTCATTACTGAGGAATGAAGGCTTCCAGTCTTGCTGAATGTCACAGATTTCCGTTTGTGCAGAGACTTCTAAAAAAGAGACACAAATAAGTCTTTATATTCAATGGCACCTAGAAATTGGAATTAACAAATGAAGCACATGTTACTTCTATGTAATTTTGTGTAAACTTCTGTGTAGTTTAATTTAAGAAGCCAGTATAAGGAAATATGTTACCCTGATTTCCAAGGACTGGGAGCTTTGGATGTCATAGGCTCTTGATGTTCTCACCTCCCTTAATGAGGCTTTAGGGAGGAGCATCCCCCACCTTCTCTATGGTTGTGGTGCCTGCCCTTGCGGGTGGTACCATGCCCCTGAATGTCTACATGACGAACTCCATCATCAACAGTTGGAATTAGGTAGTTGCCACCTATGAAGACAACAGGAACAAAGACTGGGATGGTGGGACATTTTCATAAGTAGCTTCTTCATGGTCCAGGTGAAGCAAAACACTTCAGAGACCTGGGATTTTCAAAATTCCAGAAGCATCTTCGGCTTGTGGAAAATAACCCACTGTGTTATACAGAATGAACCATATTTTTCAGCACTTCTGTTACTGAAGTATAGTGTGCTATACAAATACATAAAATATATTCCTCTCAAAGCTCTTTAGGGTTAATCTATAGTTTATCCATTTCATGTAACTGCCCTGTTCTGAAGACATTAATTATGTGCATTTGTAAATTCAAATAGTCATTGGCCTATAAGGGGCTGTTTAAATATTTTAGTTCTTCTGCATTTTTAAAGAATGTTTTGTTCTATTATTAAATTATTTCTGAATTACAGGTAGCTCAAATGCAATATCAAATACGTTTGTTTTTCCTTCAGGTTATCCTCCATCTTAAACCAACATTTTGCTCCATTTCATGTGGAAAGAGATTTCTTTAAGTATTATTTTCTTGGTGCTAGGAAAAATGTAAGATCATAAGACTCATATCTCAGATAATAAAACTAACCTGTTTAACAACTTCCTGGAGAATGCAAATGGTCCAGGCAGATAATCCATCAACTTTAAGCCAGGAGAAAGATTTCAAGGCTCTCTCCTTTGTGCCTGTGTTTTTGATAATCTCTCTTACATGGAGCACGAGGAATGCATTCTGCCATTGAATGAATGAATCTGAGTGAATGCAGCAGCTACTCATGAACAAAGGATGTAAAGAGCTGAGTTATGCATGTGACCCTGTAAACCTTCACTTGTTCCAAAACCCAGTGTTCCTGGCAGTGCTTGGCTCCACCAGGAAGGTTCCTTCCTTCGAGATGTCAGAAAGAACAAGTTGCTGCTCCTGTTATACAAAATTGGATTTTTGTCTTTGTGATTTTCAAGGGGCACAAAAGAGCTGCTACGAGCCTTTGGTGATTGAAAACTGGAAGAAACCCAGGAGAGGAATCTGTGCTGGTGGCTGGTCCGCCAACGACACTGAGAGGGCCCCTGAGGGAGGGCCCGGCTGTGGGGACAAGCCCAGTGCCGGGCGTCATAGGCACATGGTGATATGCAGCATGGGAAGCAGAGGCAGGTGCCACACACACATCTTGGCCGGAATCCATTCGGTGGTGCTGGCTGAGGCCAGGAAGAGAGACTGCAACTGGCAGTTCTTCAAACAAATGGTTGCCACAGTTTGACCACTTAGAAAGGAGAGGGACTGAGGATGTGCTACAGTATTAACACCATGAAAGCCTTTCCTCTTCTTCCTAATATGCACACGCATCTATAAGACTCTTTTGACCACTAGGATCAAACTGTAGATCAACTGTTTGTCTAGCAGAGTAGTCTTTATGGAAGCTGAAATTTCACTGAGGTAGAGATCCATTCAACTTAACAGTGAAGGAAAAATGAAAGACCCATTTCTTTTAACTGAGTGATTTTTAGATCATTCTGTATGACTGGGTATTTTGTTGACACTAGCATAATAATACTGAAAGCAGCCATCTCATTCACTTTGTATTTCAACAACTCAATTAGACTCCTTGGAAGTTAAGGTTCAGTTAATAGAATATTTAAAAAATACGTTAGATACAACGTCTCAAATAGAGAAAAAAAAATGTTCCCCTGGGAAATAAAATTCAGTGTTATGGTCAAAGTGGTTTCTAAATTTCAAGGGAAACAAAACCACCTGGGAGCCATTTTTGTAGGAAAACATTGTGATGAAGAGCCAATCCCCAAAATTCTACTCTGGTATCACGTGTAGCCACTTCCTGGAATGCTCAACTCTGGATTGCTCCTGGTATGTCTGAATAATAAGCAGTATTTCTTTGGGATGTATGTGGTCAAATAAAAGTCTGGAAAATGGAGCAGAAATACCACAGCTGTCCTGGGTAAATATTACCCTGTCGAATAGGGAAATTTCTCCTTGTTCTACAGCTCTACCCACCTTATCTTCCATCTATGAAGACAGACACATTGAAGAGGTGTGAATGAGGAATGGGATTTAATGTCAGGAGAAAATTTCATTAAGTCAGCTTGAGACTCACTCAGGAAGAAGATGATGTGTAGGCCAGCCTAACTCTGTAGAACTAACATTTAGGGCCGGGCACAGTGGCTCACACTTGTAATCCCAGCACTTTGGGAAGCCAAGGTGGTGGACTGCCTGAGGTCAGGAGTTTGAGACCAGCCTGGCCAACACTGGGAAACCCCTGTCTCTACTAAAAACACAGAATTAGCTGGGTGTGGTGGCTGGCACCTGTAATCCCAGCTACTTGGGAGGCTGAGGTAGGAGAATCACTTGAACCTGGGAGGAAGAGTTTGCAGTGAGCTGAAATTATGCCACTGCACTCCAGCCTGGGTAACAAGACCGAGGCTTCATATCAAAAATAAATAAATAAATAAATAAATAAAATAAAAACATTTAGATGGATGTGGATAAGAATGTCCAATTTGCCAGGCACAGTGGCTTCACGCCTGTAATCCCAGCACTTTGGGAGGCAGAGGCGGGTGGATCACGAAGTCAAGAGATCGAGACCATTCCGGTCAACATGGTGAAACCCCATCTGTACTAAAAATACAAAACATTAGCTGGGCGTGGTGGCACGTGCCTGTAATCCCAGCTACTCAGGAGGCTGAGGCAGGAGAATTGCCTGAACCCAGGAGGTGGAAGTTGCGGTGAGCCGAGATCACGCCATTGCACTCCAGCCTGGGTAACAAAAGTGAAACTCCGTGTCAAAAAAAAAAAAAAAAAAAAAGAATGTCCAATTTGTCCTGCTATTTACATACTTTAGGGATTTCTCTCTTATAATAGCTACTGTTACAAAATTTTGCTACAAAGAAACATGATCAGATTCCCATGTTGATTTGGATTACTTCAGAGAGAGTAAGTGTACAGTCCAGGATTAAAGTTTATTTCCCAGGCTGAGAAAATAATGCTGAAAGATTATTAGGGAAAGAGCCGAATAATTATAACTGCTTGGACCTAATCATCTTTTCTTACTTATCATGTGGTCCCTCTTTAGCATTAAGGCAGGAAGTATGTTGAAATTCATAGTTCTTAACCCTCACTGCACACCGGAATCACCTGGGGAGCTTTAAAAATGCTGATGCCTGGGCCTTCCCTAGCCATCTGCTGGTGAAAGGCTCTCCTCCCTCTACAACAAATAGCCCCGATTTGCAGTGTTTGCCCCTTTCTGTAAACACTCCTACCATGGCTGATCTCAAGCTACCAACTTCATGTCAACTGGCTTGCAAAACTCCTGAAAATTGAACAGTCTTTCCTGGCAAGCTGGTATACCATTGCGGTCCCACCCCTAGAGACTGTGTCATATTGGTCTGTTGGGGGGTTACCTGGTAACATGTATTTTTCAGAAGCTCTTCAGGTGATTCAAATTCACAGACAACGCTGAGAACCAGTAGTCTAAATGGACACACTCATGAACTGCTGTAGTGCAGCTGTGATATAAATATCCACAAGAGCCCTGAAGATCACCTCTTGTAAAGGAGCCATGGAGTATAGTGCTAAAAACTTGGGGTCTTGAGACAGGCTGCTGTCTGTTTAGAGTCTGCATTTTCCTGGCTGTCTGACCTGGATGAGGGAGTGACTTGACCTTGTGTACCTCATCTGTGCGATGGAACTAACTCAAAGTGCTGCCATAGGCTGGGTGAGGTGGCTGAGGCCTGTGATCCCAGCACTTTGGGAGGCCAAGGCGGGAGGATTACTTGAGGCCAGGAGTTTGAGACCAGTCTGGCCAAAGTGGCAAAATCCGGTCTCTACTAAAAATACAAAAATTAGCAGAGTGTGGTGGCACACGCCTGTAATCGCAGCTACTCGGGAAGCTAAGACAGGAAAATTGCTTGAACCTGGGAGGTGGAGGTGGCAGTGAGCCGAAATTCTACCACTGCACTCCAACATGGGTGACAGAGTGAGATTCTGTCTCCAAAAAAAAGTGCTGCCATGAAGAGGAGCTCTATGTAGAGGCGTTCTTGTACACAAAACCTTCAGAACACTGTCCAGCTCATAGCAAGCCCTGAGTCAATGCCAATGGCCAGTGTTCTCTGTTGTAGATACCTGCAGAGTCCATGTCCATTTGGATTGCAAGTAAAGGAAAGTGGTTGCTTCACTTTATGCTTTAGTCCAAGTTTTGGTCCAACAACTCTATTTCTCCAAAAAACATACCATGAATTCTCTGCTTTCTTTTGAATAGGAAATCACAGAGAGGAGTGAGATTCTGGCACGATCCTGGGTGTGTTTAAGCGGGTTGTGCAGAGTAGGCCTTCGTCTTATGAAGAAGTCGAGCTGAAGCAGGCTCTCCTGGCGTTTGGAGGCTGTATTTCTACTGACTGATCCTTTCCAGGGCCCAGATTTGACAATTCTGTAATTCCACAGTGGACAGAGCCCGGCATAAATGTCAGGCTGATGAACTTGATCCCAGCTGTCCTATTTAACAGCTGTCCTGCTTCTCAGTGGCACTGACCTAGTTTGAGTAATTTGTACAAAATATCTTGGCAATCAAACCAACCTGCTATTTCACTTGGCTAAATCATTATTTAGGAAATATAACCATTTTGATTAAATTATCAGGACAATCAAATACTGCAGTAACACTTCATTCCAATCCTGCTTGATTGGGCTTCCTTGACTTTTTTTTTTTTTTGAGACGGAGTTTCACTCATGTTACCCAGGCTGGAGTGCAATGGCGCGATCTCGGCTCACCGCAACCTCCGCCTCCTGGGTTCAGGCAATTCTCCTGCCTCAGCCTCCTGAGTAGCTGGGATTACAGGCACGCACCACCATGCCCAGCTAATTTCCCTGACTTTTAACAAAAGCAATTAACATGTTCTTTACTCTCTCCTGGGCAGCCGTGGGGAAAAAAATGAGGATATATCATTACTGTCATATTGTTAATAGGTATATATGATAATCAAATAAATAATAAAAGAATAAGAAGTGTAATAAAACTTTCTGATGTCCCAGCTGTGTCCTCTTTTATGAAATCGTCTTGTCTAGGAAAATGTTCAGTGGAAGAGGCACATCACTGCATGCACGGAAGACCTGTAATTATTTCCTCACTAATTCTGACATTTCTGACTTATTACGTATGGTGTCATGATTAAAGAAAAAATAATTCTGCTCTTCCTGCTTGCTAATAGGTTTTGAGCCCTCTTAACTATTCTTTGACTTTTTGTAACATCCTGGGTGACTGGCAGGGTAGGTGTAATCAGCGCTAACAGGTAAAAGGGTTTGCAGGAGAGGAAAAGGGAGAGAGAATGATTTGAGAAAGACCTGAGTTCAAGGATGGGTTCAAGTGGCACATGCAGGTGATCATGTGATGGAATACTATATACGAATGAAAGGGAGCTAGCAATAGCACTGGAAGAATGGGAGGAATCACATAAACATCATATGCTAATTCATGGTTCCATCTGAGTAAGTTCCCAACAGGCAAAACCAACCTATGGGGTTAGAAGTCAGCACAGAGGGTCCTTCTTTTGGGAAAGCAGAGGAAGACAGGAAGGGACTTCTATTTCTTGACTTGGGTCATTGGTTCCCTGGCTGTGTCTGCTTTGTGATAATTAATTCAACTGTACAGTTATAATTTATATATTCTCTGTATGTGTTACTTTTATAATGTATGACAAAGATAGAAAAAAATGGAGTGCCAGGATAACTGGAAATCTACATGCAAAAGGATGAATTTTCACTGCCTACCTTACGACATCTACAAAAATGAACATAAAATGGACCAAGTATCTATGCTTGACCTATAGTTTAAAATTATAAACCTCTTAGAAGAAAACAAAGATATCACTCTTCATTACTTTAGATCAGGCAATGGTTTCTTAGATAGAATGCCTCAAGCACAAGCAATCAAAATAAAAATATAAATTGGACATTAACTGATTAAACCTTAAAACCTCTGTGTGTCAAAGAATATCACCTGAAAAGTAAAAAGACAATCCACAGAATGGGGGAAGATATTTTCAAATTCTACACCAGTTAAGGGTCTAGTATCCAGAATGTGTGGAGGACTCTTATCACTCAAGAATAAAAAGATAAATAATTTAAAAATGGGCCATGGATTTGGACATTTCTCCAAAGAAGATATGCAAATGGCCAATAAGTACAGGAAAAGGTCATGAAAAGGAAAACATCATTAGTCATCAGGGAAATGCAAATCGAAGTCATATGAGACATCGCTTCATACTCACTAGGGAGATGATATTAATAATAGTCATAATAAAAAAAAATAACAAGTATTGGCAAGGATGTGGAGCAACTGGAACCCTCATACATTGCTGCTGGAATGTAACTTGGTACAAGCCACCTTGGAAAACAGTTTGGCACTTCCTCAAAAAGTTAAACACTACCATTTAATGCAGCAATTCCTCTCCTAGAAATACAAACAAGAGAAGTGAAAACATGTGTCAACTCAAAAATGTGTATATGAATGTTCACAGCAGCATCATTCTTAACATCTAAAAATTGCAAACAACCCAAATATCCAACAACTGATGAAAGGATAATCAAAATATGCTATTAATATTAACATATCCATACAATGGAATATTGTTGGTCCATAAAATGGAACAAAGTACTCGCACATGCTAAAACACAGATGCTAAGTGAAAGAAGCCAGATACAAAAGGCCACATATCGTATGATTCTATTTGTATAAAATGCCTACAATGGGGGAGTTCACAGAGACAGAAAATACATTAGTGCTTGCCAGGACCTGGAGGGAGGAGGAAGAATGAGAAATGATCACTAATGGATACAGGGTTTCTTTTTTGGCATGATGAAATTAGATAGTGGTGATGGTTACATCACCTCGTGAATATTCTAAAGGCCACTGCAGTCTATGCTTTAAAATGTTGAATTTTATGGTATGGAAATTATATCTCAATAAAAACACAATGAATGTGACATTAAGAAAATAAATTCTTTTCAGTGTATTTTTTCATGATGTAGCTCAAAAGACCAAAGAGTTTGGGGCAGTGGCAGAGAGGAAGGAAAAGGCCCACACAGTACGATCCCACAGGAAGGAAGTACTTGGCCACTGCGTCTGTTCGGCATTGAATAAAAGACACTTGCTCCAGGGAGTTTTGATCAAGACCTTTTCACTGTGAATGCCATGCTGCTTCGGCTAGGCGCTACCTGTGAGGTTGTTCTAGATTCTCTCGTCTGGCTTACAATGCAATTGAGAAGTGTGTGTCCTCTCCCCACCTAGCCAGAGATGGGCTGATAGAGGGTCGAGTGCCTTTGAAAGGGGAAGCCCTCGACTGGTAAGGCTGGGCCCGGCTGGGGAGGAAGCCCAGACTGGTGAAGTCATCACCACATGGACAGGGCAGGGCAGAAGAAAAACAGAGAGAAGGGTGACCTTTACCATTGTGTTTCTGCAAAAATCCGATGACCTTTTCCAACACGGTGGTTTTGTCCATTTTCCGTGTGTTGCCAGGGAGCATGGAGCTGAGCTCTTTGATGAGAACATTGAACTGGTCCCGACGCTTCTTCTCAGACTTGTTTCGAGAAGCTCTGTAAACACAAAATGAGCAGGTTACTGGAAAATTCCACGTCACAAAGGCTTTGTTATGAAACAGAAGCACTTTCTATTAGAGCACATTCTATTGTGATCATCTATCTTATCAAAAAACTCTCAGGAAGGTCACACTGGCGACATTTCTAGGGAAGGGTGATAGAAAATGCTTTGCTAGACTCTTGGCCACAAAGACAGACAGCAGTAACAACCAGTAAGTTCTGACTCGGACTCAAGATCTTACACAGATTAGCTCTGAGGCCGATGCTGCTCATTCGGACTTCATGAAGCTGTAGCTTTCAGAGAGCAAAAGACATGTTGTGGACTGAGATGGCCGTGCTGGGAGAGCCCTTCCTAAGACTCAAACCATGTCCCCTCCAATCGAGATCACCCAGCCTGGTTCCAGGGCCACAGGCGGGCCAGGTGTCTTGTATGCCACCAGGGCATATGTCTTGGCCTCTGCTCCAAAGAGCTCATCGCCCTGTTGGGGGAGGCAAGACACGTCCTGCCCACAACAGCCAGGGTGGATGCATGATGGGTACTGCACATGGCTGTCAAGCTGCTGAGAGCAGCTGAACCGTTTTTAAAATGACATGGAGGAAACTTAAATGCATATTACTAAGTTAAAGAAGCCAGTCTGAAAAAGCTGAACACTGTATGAGAGCAAGAATATGACATCCTGGAAAATGAAAAACTACAGAGACAGCACAAAGATTGGTGGTTGCCAGGGGTTAGGGAGGGATGAACAGCTGGAGCACCGGGGATTTGTAGGGCAGTGAGGCCACTCCGTATGATACCATAATGGTGGATGTGTGTCATCACACTTTGTCTAGACTTGGAGAATGTACAACCCTAGGAGTGTGCCCTGATGTTAACTCTGGACTCTGGGTGGTAACAATATATCAAGCTCATCAGCTATAACTAATCACCACTCTTGTGGGGGATGGTGATAATGGGGGGTCTGAGTATGTCTAGGGAGGGCCCAGTGGATATGAGAACACTGTATCTTTCACTCAATTCGTCTGTGAGCCTAAAACTGCTCCAAAAAATAGTTTATTTTCAATAAGTAACACCCTACACTGCACACCTATAGGAGAGATCAAAGCAAAGTTGCTTGGTTTGAAGGGAGGGGCCTTCCCCCACCCCTCTCCCACCCCCCCACCACCCAAACACCTCTGAGGACCTGAGATCCTCGGGAACTTGAGTAGGGAATTGTGGCTCTCAGCGCTGCTGTAATTAACAACCAACAAGGAACACGTGATGCACAAAGCCCTCCTGAGAAGCCCAGAAGCAGCGCTGCTTGAGGGGTCTCCATATTCAATGACATGCCACAGGTCCTTCATCAACAATCCACGTATTTGAAGGTGATCCAGGGCTGAGACAGCTGGCTCACTCCTCCCCAATTTACTGAAGACTTATGCCAGAAGTCAGCTCTCTGAGAGAGAACAGGGGCCCCAGAGGCCAGGCCCATAAAACACTGCTGGCTTGTCCAGGCACCTGGGGCTGGCGGTCATGGTTCCCAGGGGAGCAAATCATTTAAGAGGAGGCTCCTGGCCAATGTGTGGTCAGGACAGAGCATGCTGCTGGATTCTGATTCACCTCCCTTAGAGCAGGTATCAGTATCTATAGGTAACAGTATCAATAAAGACCCTGCTTCCCTAGACAGTCCTAGGACACAAAAGAACACATTTCCAAAACCCTTTCCCTAGACTCCATGAGGACAGCAACCACTGGATCGCCTCTGCCTAGCTGCACACAACCTCCCTTTATTCCAACACGCATGTTCACACCCGTCTCATACCCGTCCTATCTCAGTCTGGGCTGTTTCCTGATAACATCTGGGCTATTCTTTAAAGCTCAGCTAACGTGGGTGGTCACTGCCCTTCACCTAGGGGTCTCTTCCTGCCTCTCCCCTCCTCCGTCTGTTATTGGATTTTGGATTAAGGGATTTGTACAAAGGCCCTGGCCCTCACCGAGACGCCCCCTTTACCTGATCTCTCCCTCATCACACACTAGCTGCAGGCGTGGCGGCAAGATGTTGAGGAGTCTTGTTGCTAGTCCAGGCTAAAAGGCACCATGTTCAAACACACAGGAGGGAAGAAAGGAACCCTTTAACTTTCTGAGTGAGTGCCTATGCATTATAAATAATTTTTTGGCCTAGATTTTAAAGAGTGACATGCAACCTCCTTAGCCAAAAAAAGCTCTGTTCCTGTCCTAGTTTGCCCATTATAAATTATTTGTGAGCCAATAACACCCAGCTCATTACTGCTCTGTTCTCTTCTTCAATGGGTGTAATGACGACCAACATGGCCTGGCAGCAATTGCGATGAAGGATCCTATCGTTAGTGACAGAAACACAAGCTCATTTCCAACCGCCTCCGGCTGGGATGCACTGTGGTGCCCACTGGAAACTGGTCAGTGTCAGATGGTTCTGCTTCTCTCAGGCAAGAGAAAGAAAACCAGCCTGGAATGACCTTTCCAAAAAGAAGGTCCTCTCAGCAGGCCCTGAGACCACCACACACAGGCACTGGGACAGCAGGTTTTGAAAGACACCCCAACAGTCAGGCTTTGAGGGTTTTTTTTGTTTTTTTTGAGATAGTCTCACTCTGTCACCCAGGCTGGAGGGCAGTGCCATGATTTCAGTTCACTGCAACTTCTGCCTCCCAGGTTCAAGCAATTCTCCTGCCTCAGCCTCTCCAGTAGCTGGGATTACAGGTGCCCACCACCATGCCTGGATCATTTTTGTATTTTTAGTAGAGACGGGGCTTTACCATGTTGACCAGGCTGGTCTCAAGCTCCTGACCTCAGGTGATCCACCAGCCTCAGCCTCCAAAAATGCTGGGATTACAGGCATGAGCCACCATGCCTGCCCAGGCTTTGGGGTTTTAAGGTATTTTTTTAACATTCAATAAAATTCATCCATTTTAAGTGCATAGTTTGGTGTATTAATTGGGTAACTACCACCAAAATCAAGATACACAACAGTTCCTTCATTCTAAAGAGGTTTCTCTTGTGTCTTTGTGATTGATCAGCCACAGGCAACCACTGATCTGCTGTTAGTGTAGTTTCACCTGGTCTAGAATTTGACAGTCCTGGAATCAGAGTATACAGCATTTGACTTTCATTTAGCATGACATTTTTGAGATGCCTCCATGTTGCTGCACATATTAACATCCTGTTCTCTTTTCCTGCTGACTAGTATTCCTGTGTATGAACATGTCACAACATTCGGTTCATTTCCAGTTCAGGGGTAATAAGAATAATGCTGTTCTGAATATTCATGTACAGATCTTTGGGTAGAAAGAGGCATTCATTTCTCCTGGGTGAATACAGAGGCATGGAATTGCTGGGTCATCTGTTATGTGTACGTTTAACCTGATAAGACACAGCTGCACTGTCATATAAAGCTGGCTACACTTTTTGCTTTTCTACCAGCAATATATGAAAGTTCCAGATGTTGCAATCCCTGCCAACGTTTGCCAATGCTTGGTGTTGTAAGCCTTTTTTTTTTTTTTTTTTTTTTTTCGAGACAGAGTCTCACACTGTTACCCAGGCTGTAGTGCAGTGGTGAGATCTTGGCTCACTGCAATCTCTGCCTCCTGGGTTCAGTCAATTCTTCTGCCCTCAGCCTCCCGAATAGCTGGGACTACAGGTGTGCACCATCACACCCAGCTAATTTTTTGGAATTTTTGGTAGAGACAGGGTTTCACCATGTTGGCCAGGATGGTCTTGATCTCCTGACCTTGTGATCCACCCCCCTGAGCCTCCCAAAATTCTGGGATTACAGACATGAGCCACTGCGCCTGGCCCTTTTTTTTTTAAGTTTAGCCATTGAAATGTTATCTTATTGTGGCTTGCATTTGCATTTTTCTGGTGACTAGTGATGTGGAACATCTTTTTACATGCTTAATGGCCATTTATGTATCTTACTTTGTGAAGTGTTTGTTCAAATCTTCTGCCTATTTTCCAATGGGTTGCTTGTCATCTTATTGAGCTTAAGAGAGACAGAGTTAGAGAGAGAGAGAGAGACACCAAGGGAGGGAGGAAGGGAAGGTACGTGTGTGTTTTAAATATACATGAACATTGATTTTTGAATGCAGGGCTCAAAAAGCCCCAAGTTATCTGTTCTGACGCATCCATCATTGGGAATCTTGGGGAGTTTAGGTCTGGTTACACAGGTAATATTTGCCGGGCACTTATCATGTATGTAACGGGCACCATGTTAAGAGCTTTACAACCATTCATTCTTTCAGTCTTCATGGCAACCCTTTAAGGCAGGTACTGTTGAGTTTCCGTTCTGAGGGGAAGGAACGAGGCACTGAGAGGCTGTGTAACTCACCAACTTCACAGCCGGGAAGTGGTGGCGCAGGCTGGCTCCAGTGCCCACACTGTGAGGCCGTGCACCCTCCTGCCACTTCCTACAGTTCCCTCCAAATCATTGTGACATGATCTGTTATGGACCAGTGTTTGCGTTCCCTGTTGGAAAAAGATACTGCAGGAAATCAAGGGAAGACTGTGACCCTCACTTCAGTTCCCAGGAGGAGTGGACTTTCTCACTGTCATGGTCACCTGTGGTGTCGGGATTGCTGTTCACCGAATATTTCCAGTTTGTCTTCTAGACAACATAGAAAGGGGTGCTTCCCTACCCCTTCACTCGGCCAAGAACATGTAGGCACAGCGCCATGTATTGGTTCCCAGGGAGACGCAGAAGCAGAAGAGTCAGGGCAAAATCTGCCTCATTCCTTTTTCCATTCACCTCCCCTTGGCAATGGGAGGTGAAGCCTCTCTCAGTCTGGGTCCTTGGGTAAGGACACTTTAATGCAAGGGCCCGGCAGCTCTGTGACAGGCACATCAGCTTTACTGAGATTTGGGGATTGTGTGCCACACAGCACAACCTAGCCTATCTTGACACACATAGCAGGGGATTGAGGCAGAAAGGCACCCACAGGTAGAACTAAAAAATCCATTTATTAAATGCAACACAGACAGACCTCCAGGG